CTGCGCCCTCTCCCACCTCCGGTATTCCTTACTCTGCCTTGACAAGTGGGTGAAGGAAGAGAGAGTGTGTTAGACGCAACACAAGTCTACTAACACTTAACACTAATTAATGCGTAGGTCATGCCGTTTGTCTTTAGCTTACCGAAACACGCGGTCGACCTCGTTAACACCGACGGTCGAACTATCACAAAAGTGAGTTTGAAATGTTGACTGGCATACGAAAAATCCAATTTTAAGCCATGCAGCCACTTGAATTTTAATCCTAACCTTTTAATTACCCTCTTCTAGGTGGTTTGATTTGGAGACTTTCTGCATGTCTCTCGGACTAAGCATCCGTAAAGTTTTGTTTTTCATATATTGCCAACTGTCTTACTGTATAAATAAACCGCCATTCAATTAAGCGAATATGTCCTTATGAAAACTGAAAAGTCGAGTCGGCAAACACATGTGTTCTGTAATTCATCATCAGGCCTATACAGTTACAGAGATCATGAAAATATGAGCAATTGACATCATCATGGTCATACCCTATCTGCGCATGACCATGACTGTGTTACCATCACCTATGATTAAGGATTCCCGACGGAATCCGAAACGTCAGGCAAATAAAACTCTTGTTCCTGTGATCGCGTCCTCTTCTTCTAGACAGAACTTTTGTTAGGCAGGCTAACATTTCCTATTGGAGGCTCATGCTGTATCTCTATTCGCTACTCCCTCGAGGAGCCTTTGCTTGGTTTTAAATACGGCTTTCATTATCATGCTATTGTAGGTTGTTTTTGTTCTACTTATTTTTCTAATGCTTAATTTTTTGTTTATTGTTGTTTGCTTTTGCTGTATAGTTTGTTCATTTCTATTATTTTATTTATTGTTTTTATTATTTTTGTACAGTTTTATCTATAGTTTATTATTTTTTACTTATTGTTTATTGCCGTTTATTTAGTGTGTGTTAGCAGTATATTGCAAATTTTTTATTTATCATGTTTATTATTGTTTGTAATAATGTATCACGGTTTTGGTTTATTGGCAGTATTTTGGTGGTATTGGATGTATATTGTTCTATTTATAGTCTTTATTAATACTGTTACCATTATATCACATGACCCAATCTCCACCCAATTATGCTTATAACTAAAACGCTCAATTACCTCTTCTAATGCATCATATGATGTAAATTTGCCTCACATAAAGCAGTACATAAAAAGAGTGCTACAATAATATAAACAATAATAAAGACGTCTAACAAAAGTTCCGCCTGGTGGATTGGATAGTTCAAGTCTGTGTGCTGAAGCCGTGAAGTCCAAAGCAAGTAAGTTTGCGATAATTCCCGATAAATAGGAGTAGTACGATGCGC